CCTGTTTTCCATTAATGAGAATTTTTTTATTAGGCCTGAATATTAGAAGGTTAATTCATTCTACACAAAAAGAAATGATGAAGTATTTTGAAAAGATCAAAGTAGAATACAAGGATTAAACAATGACGGGGCTATTTAGTGGGTATAAGTTTATTGGATAAAAAATGGGATATTATACCGGGTATAATAGGAAACACATGTTTGGCTTAAAGTAGATAAACTTGGATAAAATCACTTTCTTCTAAAAAAAAAAAAAGAAAATAAACTTGGACAAACTTTTATTTCTAAGTTTAATCTTGACTTTCTAAAAAGACTTCGGAGAAAGGCAAATGTCATTTTGTTGTTTTATTCTGGGTTTGTAATCTCGGGATTGTTATCCACATAGCGAATGGTACAAAAATAATACCAGAATTGTGGTGTAAAAAATTCTGGACTGCTAATCCCAAATTAAAAGTTCTACCAAATATGATCACTCTACAAAAATTTCACATGCATTGCTTGCATCCAGTTATAGCTGGAACGTTTCTGATGCAACAGGATTTTAAAAAAGCTTGTGCTGTTATAATGGAACTTCTTTGGTGAATGCCATGTAAAGATGGTTTGTTGCCTGAGAACTGTCTACTTCATACTGTAGGTCCATACCCTTGAGCAGTAATTGTTGCAAAATTCATGGGACTGGTGTGAATACTTTTCTAATTTTTATTTATCATGTTGGGCAGCAAAATGGCTGAAGGAGCATATTATTAGAATGTCATTTATCAACTGCTTCATCTGTCTTTGCATCTTTAACTGCACACTTTGTTGCTAAGGATATATGAAATTACATTCTATTGGTTTTACTCGGATTCTGTTGCCTCTTTTGGTGGAGGTGGAGTGCCATTGGGTGAATAGTAAATTGATGTATTGTGCCTTCTTAATCTAGTTGGTTGACACTTTGGCTGATTTATTTCCAGCTATGAGCCATATCTTTGGGAGAATGAGAGGCAGTCATACCTGAGGCATGCTGTCCTCCTTGGGTTCTTTGTTCAGCTTAATCGGATGTATACAGATACTGCACAGAAACTGCCAACCAATTCAGAATCTAACATCATGCGCTGCTCTGCAGTACCTCGCTTCAAATATCTCCCCATCAGGTTGATATTTTATTTAAATTTTATAAATTACACTGTTCAATTCATTTTCTGTTCAGTTTGTGGTACTCTTTTCCTTGTACCAGGATTTTCCCTCCTTGATTATCGAGATAAAGGGATGACAATTCACACACATGTAGAAATCACATTGCATTCCTTATGTTGGTTATTACAGTTTGTTCTCTAAAGTGATCTTCTTTAATGTTCCCTATGTGTAATAGGTTACTACCATTTGTCATGTATCCTTTGATGCAATGTGTAATTTTTTATTTTTGTAATTCAGTGCCCCAGCATTGTCTTCAAGAGGGCCAACCAAGGCATCAATCTCAGCATCTATTGATGATGTTTCATCAAGAAGTCCCTGGAAAAGTTACACAAATGACGAACTGTCTCGAAAGGTTGATATTGATGAAAATTCTAGTTCCGGGATAACATCGCCGTTTTTGAAATCATTTATGCAGGTAAATTCTTCTTTGCCTAGTCTCTGTAGAACCTTCCTTCTTTGTAATCCTATTTTATGCCTGCAGTTCCATGCACACCTTCTCTTTTTTTTTCTTCTATTAACCAAAAGAGGTGACTTTTCCAAAATATTTTTGAGAGCTAAAGATATATAGGAATAAACAAAACCGTGCAGAAAAAGAAAAATATATTTTTCGTCTTATTTTGTGGATCCTGATTTGTTAACTGTCCTTTAGTTTTATGTACGATATGTTTCCGCTCAAAATTGCATATTGACCTGTTCCTTGTGATAATCTTATGAATAGACGTGAAGCTTGTCTCACACCTCAGTTTTATGAATTTCATTTTATGTTTTCTTATTGTTTTACTTTGTAACGTTGGCAAATTAGGTGAATAACAAACTTCCATTAAATTGATGATGTAATTTTTCGTACTGGAAGAATGTCTATCGTCAAAGATGCATTATAGAATGATCAACCAGTCTGCTTGTTTTAAACTGTCCACTTTCTTACTAAAAGTGAATACATAAAAATAGGGAGAAATTAATTTGAGAGTTGTTTTGCCTTTTTTTGGCCTTTTAAAAATAATTTCTCCATGATTCTCAAAGGCGAGAGCCTAGACATGTCTTGTTTGCTTTTCCTCATTTTCAACACACTTTGCTACCAAAGCATCTTCTAGTTTATGATGAGAATGTAAAGGCTACTTCAGATAAGGTGAGTCTGATATTGTAGCTCCTTATCACAAACAAAGTTCAGGTCTTTGTCATTCAGAGCGTGCACTTTCAGTTATTGGAGCTGTTATTTTAAACTGTGAATCATGAACTGAATTATTGATTTGACAAAATAAGTTGTTTTGCTCATGTAAGCCTGATTTTTGTTACCTACAATATCCAGGTTGGCAGCAAATTTGGCGAGAGCACGCTGAAGCTGGGATCAATACTAACTGATGGGCAAGTGGGCAGGTTTGGTGACATATTACCCGTTCAAGCTTCAGGCTTCCATTCCTTCTTCACAACTGCCAGATCAGAGTAACTGTTGAGAAACTTTTAACGAGCTTTATCCAAAACAACAAAATTGAAGTTGACATAGTTGCTTTTGCCGGAAACAGAAAGAGTAATTTAGTAAAAATCAAGAATGTAGGGATGTTGAACATTAGGAGATGGATATTCATTTTTGCGAGGAAGGTATCATTACTTATCGTATTTTTGCAGTCACGGATAAGGGAATTTTACTCTGTAATTTATGATATTGATTGGAACCAGCAGTCGATGAGCTTAATCTGCTTGTACAAAAGAGGATAAACGAAAAGATGTTTCAGTAATGTGTAAAATGATGTTATTCTTTTAATTACATTTCCCATCTACTTATACAATTAGTTGTGTTGAAGTAGGTGAAAGTACAAGGCACAATAAGTATATGAATATATGTGATGCTGGTTTTTTTTTCTGTAAAAGATATGTGATGCAGGTTAGTAGTATTGTTTTTTTTTTTTTTTTTGAAGTGTTGGAATGTATAATTCAGTCGGCAAAATGTGATTCAATAAGTGGCCCATGGCAATGTCATATTTGGATTGTATCCCCACACACAGCAGTTCAATAATAAATTAATGACCCACATTTTCCATCAACCAACTGCTTTTTCCCTGTTATTGTCCAATTCTGTCACTCATCATCAAAATAAATAAACATGACAGTCTTTATCCTTGAAATTTTTTGTGTGATTTTCATTGTGGAGTTAATCCCTAATCATTCCACTATTCAAGTTGAGCAATGGTTGCGTAAGTAGGTGAATAGGCTCAAATATATGAATTTACATGCAATAATAATTTGAAAACGATATGTATACATTATTTATACTTATACGTTGACAGTGAACTGATCTTATGATTCTTCATTAGTGCGTAGTTTTATTCTTTTGGTTCTAATTCTACTATAATAATAAGGGTTAATAAGAAGAAGAGTTAGTTCCTTTATAAATATTCTTCATGCCACTTGACATTGCAATTGAAAATATTATATTTCATAAGAAAGAATTTCAATATTTTGTTATGCTACAAGTTATAAGTTACACTGCTTGGTGTAGCGACTTAAGAATTGGGACATTACTGTATCTTATTAAATTCAGATATTATAAACAATACAACTCTCAAAAGTGGCACTGCCATGATTGATTTGGGATGAATATAATTCGTTTATCCATAATAGAAGGCTAGGGTTCAAACTTTGAAAACTTAAAAAAAAAACATTTCTTTATTTAGTAATAGGCCTTACACAATATTAATTTAAATTAATAACTCTAACACAAATATTGAATACCGAATGCAGTCGAAAAAGTACAAAATAAAGTTGTTCTATTACATTAATATTTCTTATTCACTCAGACCCTACCACTAACTGAACAAAACAGATACTGTTTGAGTAGCATTGTACTTATTCTATCCAAAGAAGAAACTAAACACACAACATTATCTTTTACGGGAATGCAAATAAATCAAATGACAGTCGTAAAATAGTTGGCATTTTCTTGCTTTTCTAATTTGATTTTTTTTTTAAAAATTAATTAGAGAACTATCAGAGTAGGGCAGTAGTTAGTGAAGAAAGTCTAATAAATTAAAGAATCTAAATTAGGTAGCTTGTCTAAAATCCAAAAGTATTAATCAAATCTTTTTAATGAATTCGTTGCACCAAAAGATGGTATAGTGATTAATGAAATGAAATAACAATTATTAGAGACTAAAAAATGATTCTTAGAAGAGAGAAACATGCTACACAATTAATCAATTAATGTTTTGTTTTAATATCTGTCTAATATTTAGTGAGAGGTAGTTGGGATTTGAAGAAATAATTAAGGTGTGTAAAGTTAGAAAACTTAATTATTCTATAAATGTTATTTTAGTTATACACTTTGTTTCAAAAATTTTTGTTATACTTTAGTCATGGTCTTTCAAAATAATCTATACCCTAATGAGATAATAATAAAATATGTGTATATTCTATTCTTCCCAAACCTCACAAAATTTCATTGAAATGTGTTATTATTGTTATTGTTTAATTATACAATTTGTTTAATCGACGATCAACAAGTAAAGCATATAAAAATTTCATAAAGCCATTTTTCAACTATTTAAATTGTACTCTAATTAATCAACACCATAATCTTTTTTATATATATATATATTTATTTTATTTTTTTAATTATTTTTTATTTTTATTTTTAAAAAAAAAAAACGAGTTTTAATGAGTATATTATTACCAAAATTAGTTCCATTTTGTTCGACAGTGACAAGTGGCTGCCGACACTCATTTCCGAACCAACGTTGTTGATTAGGCTCGGAATCAGGTTCAGCTTCGGCCACCTTCCGGACCTCCTCCTTGTACTTGTCTCTTATATGCTTCACACACTCTGCTTCCTCATACTACTTCTCTGTTCCTCTACAAAAAATCTGCAAATTAAATAAATAAAAATCCCATGCAATTCATACAAAACACACAGTTCATGGGATTTTTGAATTTATGAACAATTCCATAAAATATTCAAAGATTTTTTCTGGGTAGTTTTGTGTCAGACTGTTCAGAATTCTACTGTAATTCAGTTGTAGAATTTTTTATTTTTTTGAAAAAATGTTGCACGCAAAATCAGAGTCAGATATAACAAGTTTAGCTCCGTCGTCGCCGTCGAGGTCACCAAAACGGCCAGTTTACTATGTACAGAGTCCTTCAAGGGACTCACAGGATGGGGATAAATCAGCATCTATGCAGCCGACGCCGAGTTTCAATAGTCCAATGGAATCTCCTTCGCATCCTTCATTTGGGCGGCACTCGAGGAATTCATCGGCTAGTCGATTTTCCGGGATATTTAGGTCGTCGTCCGGCAGGAAAAATGGCAGGAAAAGGAACGATAAAGGGTGGCCGGAATGTAATGTAATTGTGGAAGAAGGTAAGTATGATGAATTTGATGAGGAGAAGGGATTAACTCGGCGGTGTCAGGCTTTGCTTGCTCTTTTGGGGTTTGTTGTTTTGTTCACTATCTTTTGCCTCATCATATGGGGCGCTGCACGTCCTTTCAAAGCTGAGATTACTGTCAGGGTATGCTTCTTTGCTCCCATAGAAAAGCGAATTCAGAATTTTGAGTTTATTGATTCTAAAAAATTGGTTATAGGATTTTGGCAAAAGCTAATACTCTAGTAGAATGAAATTTCTGAATTTTGTGTTACTACTCCAAATTATGAGACATAGGTAGTATATGTCAGCTTCTGGGCAAGAGGCTAAACTGTCTGCAGTTTTGATGGTGTTTTGGCTTTTATTGCGCATTGGTAATAGATATGACTGTTTTCAGCACTAAACAAAATATTAGTACTAACTTTATTGAAATAAACAATGGCACTGTTGGAGTTTCGAATTCGAGAGGCAGTGTTTTTCTTTGATATGTAGTTTTCAAATATATACATTTTATTTCAAAAAAACTGAAAGTTTCTGTTTGAATTCATGGTCAGAGTTTAGAAGTTTGAATCTTGAAATTTCAACTGTATCACATAAGTTAGGACAAAGGAAGTTCACACAGGGTGGAGTTGCAATATTGAAACTATTGTGTGAAATTCCTGTGTGATTTCATGCTTCTAATGGTACTAAGTATCCTGATACAACATCCAATTCCATCTATCATGACACTTCTTTATTGAATTTAGTATGTGTGTGTGACTTGTTATAATTGATCCAATTGATAGTATAGAGGATGGTAGCAGCGAAATCCAAAATTGACATGGTTATATTTCAATAGCAAGTCACTGATAAGCACTCTTTCTCCTCATGATGTTAATTTTTTTGTCAAGAGCTGCAAGTGGGGACTAGGAAAGAAGGCTTAAAAGCCAGAAAGCCTTTGGTTCATAGTTCTAGCAAGTTGACCAACTTTTTCTTTGTGGTTCTTTTCAGAGCATGGTTGTGAATAACTTCTACGTTGGTGAAGGTTCGGACTCCACTGGAGTTGTAACTAAGATGATGACAGTGAATGCGTCGTTGAGAATAAGTGTGTACAATCCTGCTACGTTCTATGGCATTCATGTTACCTCCACCCCCATCAATCTCATTTATTCAGACATCGTTGTTGCTAGTGGTCAGGTAATCTCATTACATATTTCTTTCATTTCTTGGTAAGGATATCTCTCTTGTTGTTCTGCCTTTTCAATTAGCAAGCATTGTTTTAGCGGGGTGTTAGATGGACGGTTTGGACTAATTTAGGCAAGTTAAAACAGATTGAGTGAATAATAGATTGGTAATAGACTCCCCAATATTTGTCTGGATAAAGAATGGACGGGTCAAATTGGGCTAAACAAAGGATCGTAACCCAACTCAAAATCATTTTCATTTAGGTGTTTGTTCTTTTATAATTTTGACTAATTACCGAACTAATAAAAGTTTTTTTTTAATCCTAAACAAACACAAAAACTTATTTTTTAATGTTTTGATAAGTTATTTTTTGGGCTACATTCTGCAGTCCAAATTGACCTTACCCTTTTAGATAGGCTAATTTGTATTATGCTTAAAATAACATGTCAATCTATATATACCGAGTCTAACTTGCCCAAGTTTGGGGGCTTTGACATGTTATGTTTTTAAAGGGCTCAATGTGACACCCTCTCTGTACAAGCTGCCAAATTCATGGTGGGAAATGTCACCAATGTTGAGAAAACGGAGAAACAACATCGATTGGTAAAACTTGACCTATTGCACGTCTTGCTAACATCATATTCTTTATTTTCTTTGGTTTTGCAGCTAAAAAAGTATTTTCAACCGAGGAAGAGTAGGCGGACCGAGTTAGTGAGCATAGAAGCAGCAAAGGTTCCCTTGTATGGAGCTGGATCAAGTCTTGATGCAGCAACCAACGGCGGATTTAAAGTTCCATTAAAGTTGGAGTTTGAAATCAAGTCGCGCGGAGATGTGGTGGGGAAATTAGTCAGAACAAAGCACAAAAAGGAAATCTCATGTGATTTAGTCATCGACTCAACTAGCACAAAACCCATCAAGTTCAAGAAGAATTCTTGTGTTTACAGCTGAAGAAGATATGATCGTTTGCTTCATTTTCAGTTTGTGTGCAGATAACTTTCTGTAAAATTCTCTTCTCAGCAAAGTTCATTTTTCACTTTGGGTGTGACCAAGTTTATGTAAAATTTCTCTTTTTATTAGCAAAGTAAGTCCAATTTTGAGAACACTATATATCATTCGAATAAAATAGCATTTCCCCCAAAAGAACATTGTTGGCTGTAAGTTGAATTGGTGTACATATGTAAGTTTGGGTTCATGAATGATAATTGTATTATGAAGATCTATTTACCTACCGTCTATATAAGAGCGTGGGAGGAAGGGAGCGTCTTTTGTATCGAGTGTGTTATCGAGAGACAATGATCCTGCCTTTCCTTTATAGGTAGGATTTTCATCATTTTCAGTCTACGGCATCATTAGTGACAAAAAAAAAAAAAGAGTTCCAATTCCAAGTTTCTATTGTTTTACTCTAAGATAGATTGATCAACAATAACATAAAAAATTGTAAACGAAAACGGGATTTTAAGACATCCTGTTAGACTTAAATCAGAAGATGTACTAATTAATGGAAAATGTACTAATTAAGGAATTGAAAATGGAATTAGCATTTTATAGGTTAAACTTTTTGTGCAACTACAAAAAGATTTTTTTTTTGTGTTATTATCGTCATATTTTACTTAGTTAATATATTTCCTAATTCCTAATGCCGATAACCATAATATAAAGCTTAAATTTTCCAATGTTTACATTTCTTCAACCGTTACGTTGCCGACTGAAACCGTTAGTCAAATGATAACATTAAACTACTATTAAAGTATGGTTGAATGGATTGAATTCATTCAGCATTAACTAGAAAAGCATTGATTTTGAAGCTTAAATATATAAAAGGTTTCAATAGAAAACGTGTCTAATAAGGGAACCTTGTGTTCCAAGGATAAAAAAACACACTTAACATATAACTTGATTTTTTGAGTTTTTTTTTTTATATCATCACCAAATGTTTGGTGAAACACACTTTAATTATATGGGTCACTTCTTTTCCACCTAAACAATAATGATATTTCAGATAAGAAAAATGAAATTTTTTTAGATAAAGTTTGTTTCTATAAACATTTAGTAATAGTTCAATAAGAAAATTTATATTCGTGATAATTTATCTATAAAACGTCAACTCCGAACACCAGGTAGGAAACCAAAAAATAAAAAATCTATGAAACTCCAAAAAGAAAGTACTCCCTCCATTCCTTTTTAGTTGTTATATTTCATTTTTCGAGAGTCAATTTGACAATTTTCAAAGTTAAATTAGATTGCATTCATTCTATATTTTAAAATAAAATTTTAGATATTCAAAAATTATATAGAAAATACTATAAACTGCAACTTTTTTCATATCAATATGGTAAAAAAAATACATCTTAAAATTTATATCGATTGACTTTCAAAATTAAAAAGAAACCAAACGAGTATGTGTGTATTTGACTATTTAACCAAAACAAAAAAAGGTAGATAATTCCTGAATCAAAGTCAATTTACGTTATATAAAGAAATATCCCTTAAATGAATCTCTTAGGCAATAAAAATCTAAATTAGTCCTCCTAATGCGAGAACCGACATTGGGCTAAAAAAAATATATATGATAGCATTAAAATGTGGCGCGATTGACGTTCAACTTAAATGTAGACTCTGGTCAGCCTTCTTCAGCGATGTGCCCCCCACTTCTTCCGTGATTCTACCCTCACCCTTTTCACTTCACTTTACATCTTCATAGATCCCAATCAAATTTGCACCCATTTTTCAGTATAAAAACTAGAAATTCCAACAAGAATTGATCTTTACATTCAATAGTTATCATGTATACTCCAAAACCTTCTTCAAGATTTGTCCTTTTTACCTTAATCCTTCTTCTCTTGCTCAGCTTTTTGGCTCCATCAATTTCTTCTGAGCTTGACTTAGATGATGAAGATGGTGATGACATGGAAGGTTTGGAAGAACTCATAGCATTAGATGAAGATGAAGATTTGCAGCAAAAACCGGAAGGGGCGCATCATGAGAAACAATCTGAAGCTGAGTTTGTAAGTAAGGCTCAAAGAATAGTGCTTGAACTTAATAATGACAATACTAAGAGGGCAATTGATGGAAATGAGTATGTTTTGGTTCTGGGTTACACTCCCTGGTGCGCCAGGAGTGCGGAGTTAATGCCGAAATTTGCTGAGGCTGCTACTGCTCTCAAAGAATTGGGGAGTCCGCTTTTGATGGCGAAGATTGATGCTGAACGATACCCTAAAGTTGCTTCTACTCTCGAGATCAAAGGGTTCCCGACTTTGCTTCTGTTTGTCAATGGCACTTCTCAACCTTACACTGGTGGATTCTCCGCGTAAGCAATTTTTGAATATCTAAATTTTGATTTGATCTAATCCAATTTCTTTTCAAAGATTAGTCAAATTGACTCTTGTTAAACTAAAAATGCCACATAAATAGGAAAGGAGGGAGTAGTAAGCTAGTACAGTAGTAAAATTAGGAGGACAGACTTGTGTAGCTCTTTATGTTGTGCTTTCATATGTGCATCCGATTTGTTGATTTACATCTGTGGTCCGCATATCGATCAGGGAAGAACTTGTTATCTGGGCAAGGAAGAAGACAGGTGTACCTATTATGAGAATTAGCTCAGATGCTGAGGCAAGACACTTTCTCAAGAAGCATTCCATGTTTGTGGTTGGTCTGTTTGACAAATTTGAGGTATTACCTTTTCGTCTCTTTTGGCATTTAGTTGACATGTATAATTTTCTGTTATCAGTTTAGGAATTGGAAAACTTGTGTAATTTGTTTATTCATACAAAATTGAAATCAAGAATGTGTCATAGCTTCTAAGTTAAAAGAAGTATCTTAACATACTAGGGACTTCTAATCTTGAAGTGAGCACTAGGTCTGATCAATCAATTAATTTTGCCTCAATCCCAGGTTAGTTGGGTTCAGCCACATCTGTTTCATACCTCTATATACAGGATCAAAATTCATTCCAAAATCAAATAAATTTTAATTAAAGCAAATTAGGGGTTCTCTAAGACTGCATATTATCAAAATGTCACAGTTACTCTTGCTTTTGAAATATAAGTTTTTAAACTGGTACCAAGTAAGTTCTCTTTGATCTGAAACAGAAATAAAGGCTTAATAGTAGTATGGTTGATAAGGAAAAACATTTCTAGCTGCTTTTTCCTTGTAGCTATTGCTATATGCTGTTTATTTTTTCATTTTTTCACCTAAAAAGTTGATTTTGTTTATGTATCCTTCATCTCTTAGAGTATCTTTGCTACTTCATTTCTTCTGATAGAAGTTAGTAACTAGTATTGTTTAGTTTTCACCTTTACGTGTTTTATTTCTTGTCTTATAACTGCCTATGATGCCCCAGGGGACAACATCTAATGAAGTTTAGTGTTATTTGTTTGTTCAACTCAACTTTATCCACCTATGGTTTGGTTAATTATGGAATCATTCCGTACATTTAGTTTTCTGCTTTATAATGCATACAACATAATAAGGGCATTTTTGGTGTTTACCTTCCTGTTTTAGTCGAATTTCCCTCATCTCACCAAAATATAAATAGTCTACCAAACAAAATAGTTTGTGGAATTTGCTTCTAACATGCATGTATAATCACAGGGGTCTGATTATGATGAATTTACAAAAGCAGCCGAAATGGACAGTGAAATTCAGTTTGTGGAAACTAACAATGCAGAAATTGCCAAGCACCTCTTCCCTGATTTTAAGCCAACCAGTGTTTTCCTTGGTCTAGTTAAAAGTGAGCCAGAGAAATACACTGAATATGGTAGGTTTCCTATTATTAGATTCCAGAGTTACATTTTACACCACTTCCTAGCTCAAGCATTACTATTCTCTCACGATAGATGGTTGTTCCTGACTATGCCTGCAGCTGAGCAGTTAAATCTACAACTGCTTATTCATTGGATGGCTAAAAGTTTGTAAAGATTAAATGGATATATCATTCCATGATCTCTAGGAACATTGCTGTTATTTTTGAATCTAGACTTGATTTTTTCAGTAGCATTGCGTTGCTTAATAGAATATCACTATTCACATCATTGATGTGGTTTGCAGAAGGAAGCTTCAGTACAGAAGGAATCTTGCAGTTTTTGGATGATAACAAGTTCCCCTTAACTACAGTACTTACAGAACTTAACGCTGCTAGAGTTTACTCCAACACAAACAAACTTCAGGTAACTATTGCACCTGACTCATTGTACTTTATATCATCTTCCGTTTCCCAAAGCATTTGACATCTCCATTCAATTGTAATTCATATGCGCATGCACTTGTTAGTATTTCATTATACAACGACTTGCATTTCTCTATGAAAGAAAGGTGTAGAAGACAAAGGCTGTTCTCCTGTATTGTTGAAACAATGTTAGTCTTTGATATTTGTGGAAACACTTGTATATCCAAGTGTTGACTTTATCTAAATCATCTTTGGGCTGGTATAGAGTCAAACAATTTTATCCATGAGAAGCAGAAGATCAGCTGTAACACCAATAATTTCTTCGTTTTTTTTTTCTTGCGTGGACATTTTACTTTCACAAATATATGTTAAAACACCTATAATAAGAAGAGGAGACTACTAACAAAGTTCATTACAATTCTGAGCATCTATAGTTGATTAACCAGGCTGGACTTGGCTTTTGCTGTTGGTTATAAAGTTTGTAACAAACACTTTTATGAGGAAAATCTCATCTCTCCAGCCAACACACTGTACAATGTATATCTAGTTCTGGCATTTTATAAGCATACTGTAATCATGCACTAATTTGTGATAATTGTTGGATTTTTACCTATGTTTCAATGGCATATAGGTGTTGATAATTGCTGAGCCTGATGACTTCAAGAAACTTGTGGAACCCTTGCAAGACATTGCAAGAAAGTTCAAATCAAAGGTTTCTCTCTTGTCAGGATCTAGTGAAGCAGATTTTTCTTCCTTACTGGATTTGTGTGATTGACATCTGCCTTTCGATTGCAGATAATGTTCATATTTGTAGATATTAGAGAGGAAAATCTTGCAAAGCCCTTCCTAAGTATGGTTGGTCTAGAAGAATCAAAAGACTCTGTGGTTAGTTTTTCATGAAGTATTTTTCAACTTCTCGGTACTAGCTATTTATTAAGTTTGCTCAGACAACACTTTCCTTTGAGTGGATGCACAGGTAGTATCTTTCAACTACAGTAGCAGCTTGAAATATTTGTTGGAGTCAGATACCACACCAACAAGCATAGAAGTAT